TATATATATATATATATATATATATATATATCTGTATGCTTACATACAGAGTAGCTCCTACCCACTTGAATATGTTGCACCAAAACCGTTAAGGTTTACTTGCATTCCCGGTTCAATTCCAGTCCAGAAAAAACATATATCTTTGAAAACCACAAACATTCACTATTTAAATCCCTCAGCGACAGGGGACATTGGTGTTCCGCTTGTTAGTTAATTTTTTTTAATTTTCATCTTTTCTCTGCTACAGAGCCAACTATCTCCTGTCAGCAAAGGCAAATACAGAGAATACCTGGGAAAACTGGACCTCCAGTATGGAAAACTACTGGTAAATATTTGCACATATTTAAACAGTGTTTGTGGATGATTCTTTTGATCTTTTTCTAAATTTTCCTGATCACAATTTGTTTCAGAACTCTTCCAAGTCCCGCCTGAGGAACTTGGACTCGCTGCACGCCTTTGTCACTGCTGCAACCAAGGAACTGATGTGGCTAAACGACAAAGAGGAGGAGGAGGTCAACTACGACTGGAGTGACAGAAACACCAACATGACAGCTAAGAAGGAAAACTACTCTGTGGGTTTGAAAAGAAGAACATCAGTTATTGAGAATCATCTCTTTAGATTTACAAACATGATTTTATTGAATTTACTGTAATGTAATATATTCAGAGTCTCATGCGGGAGCTGGAACTAAGGGAAAAGAAGGTCACTGATATCCAGGCTATGGGAGACAAACTCGTCAATGATGGACATCCTGGCAAGAAGACGGTTGAGGTGACTACAGAAACAGTTTCTACTGAAGAACAGAGATGAGAAGCATATCATGCAAACACTAAAGCCTGTCATTAACCCACTGTTATACTTTACTGGGCTCCTCTAGGCCTTCACTGCTGCCCTGCAGACTCAGTGGAGCTGGATCCTGCAGCTGTGCTGCTGCATAGAGGTTCATCTTAAAGAAAACACAGCTTACTACCAGGTAAATAACACAAATTATGCTTTTGTTGAAGTTGATGGTTGGCAAAATTACAACTACTTCGTCGTGAATCTTTATATTGCACAGATAGGCTTCCATAACGCTGTGACCCTCACATGTCTGCTTTCATTGCAGTTCTTTGCTGATGTAAAAGAAGCTCAGGACAAGATGAATAAAATGCAGGAGAGCATGAAAAAGAAATACAGCTGTGATCGCTCCACGACAGCCACACGTCTGGAGGATCTGCTGCAGGATGCTGTGGTGGGTAGATGATTATCGTTCATGTTTGTAAATGAATAATTAAAAACACAGCATATAAAGAGAATGGCAATGGTTCTTATTCCAATGTATTTGTTTTTCACAGGATGAGAAGGAACAGCTGAATGAGTTTAAGACTCTGGTGTCTGGGCTGAACAAGAGAGCCAAGTCCATCATCCAGCTGAAACCTCGCAGTCCCACCACCCCCATTAAAGGCAAACTGCCCATTCAGGCCGTCTGCGACTTCAAGCAGCAGGAGGTTAGAACTATCAGGCAGCAGTGGCATTTACTGATATACCAGCGTTATCGTCATACAACAGATCCTGAGTGTTTCTTCTGCTTCAGATCACTGTTCACAGAGGAGATGAGTGCGCCCTCCTCAACAACTCTCAGCCCTTTAAGTGGAAGGTTCTGAACCGCTCTGGAAACGAAGCAGTCGTTCCTTCTGTCTGCTTCCTTGTGCTTCCAGTCAACAAGGAGGCTGTGGACGGTGTGTCAAGGTGAGAATACAGAGGCACGTAGTCGATGGCAGTATTTGAATGGACATGCTACAATAAAAAAAATAAAAACTTTTTTACTCTCTTTTGAAAGTCTCATTTCTGTGGCACTTTAACTCACACATTATTTCTGCTCTAGTTTGGACGCGGACCATCAGCAGATAGTGTCCATGTGGCAGATGCTTCATATCAACATGAAGAGTCTGCTGTCTTGGCAGTACCTGATGAGAGATTTTACTCAGATTCGCTCCTGGAATATCAGCATGGTTGGTATTAGTGTTTTTTTTTTTTTTTTTAAAGGTTACAAGTTAAAATTTAGGCTACTTTTAAAAAATTTAAACTAAATTAACTAAAGGCTTAGCATTTCATATTCATGCCTGAGTTTCAATTTGATGAGCTGAAGGAAGAATAAAAAAAAAGGTTTTGTGAATTCTCACGCATTCTGCAAGACGTGAGATCCATCTGTCAGCACTCAGCGTGCATGCTGTGAATGACTCTTTGATACATCAAATTTCAGCCTCATGTCTGTAAAAGTGACTGGCTTGTATCCATTTTTTGTGTTAGCTAGCTGCAGCAGCTAACTTGAATTAAGCTAAAAGTTGTAGATAAGCATACAATAATTACAGAGTTTAATTGAAATCTCCACTGGTTCATGAGATTTTATGAACCCAATAGGCAAATGAATACCCACCCATGTAAAAACATCAGCTGTCTGTTGCTTTTGAGTTACAAGTGATGAAATGCAAACATCAGACTGAAAAGTAAAATAAACAACAACATAGATGAATGTTTCAGCTGTCTGAGATCATGTAATGAGTCTGACTCCAACCTGGTGGAAGTAAAATGGAAAAGTTCCACTTCAGTTCTGCATTCATGCCAATTCTTTGTTGTTGTTGTTTTCCCCCTCTGCAGTTAAAGACCATGAAACCAGAGGAGTACCGGCTGATCATGAGAAACCTGGAACTCCACTACCAGGACTTCATGCGTGACAGCCAGGACTCAAAGGTCTTTGGCCCTGATGACCGCATGCAGATCGAGGAGGACTACACCAAATGCACCCAGCATTTTGACAATCTGCTTCGTTCCATGGAGAAAGGTATGAGGTGCTCTAAAAACGGGGGGGAGGGGGGATTGTTTTGCAATATCCTTGTTATTACCAAGCAAAACAAAGGAATATGTATGCATAGCACTATAAAAGTATAAAAATTTGACTTCACCTTTCAGGACAAATGGCAGGTAGGGTCAAAGGTGAGTGGCATCAGATAAAGTCAGCTAGAAGCCTTGAAATGATTTGTATCCTCAGTTTGGAGCTTTGGGTGGAGTGTCCAAACATGAACATCCATCATAGATTAGTTTCACGTGTGACTGCATGTTGTTTTGGCTCCTGAGTTACTTTATTTACTAACCATGTTAGGTGCTAATAGTTGCTGCTGTTTGACATGCAGTCATTTAAATAAATCTATACATGCAGCAACATTTATGTGGTAAAGATGAATAAAGTGTTTGAGACACAGCACGTGAAGAACAGCATGTAGGATCTTGTACTAAATGGAATGTTTGAGAATTTGATCAGTATTTGGAAAAACATAATATCTTAATTAGGTACTACGATCAATTCCTGAGTATTTCATACAATGGTGCTTCATGCATTTCAGTTAATGCAACTTTTTAAATGGACTGTACTTATGTAGCACCCTTCTATCTTACTGAGATACTCAAAGCTCTTTACACTACAATCTGTGCCTCATTTACCCATTCATACAGCACTCTACTAGATCTCTACAAAGCTAATTGAACAAATCATTCTAAAGAGAATAATCAGAGCTTTATCACATTCATACACTGATGGGACACACATCAGAGGCAACGAGGGATTCAATGTCTTGCCCTGAGACACTTCGACCTGTGACTGCTGGTGGATTCGAACCCCCAACTCTTGCATTGGAGGACGACTGCTCTAACCACTCAGCCACAGCCGCCCAGCTTGCTTATTTGTTGGAGATAAATATTCTTACTTTACCTCACTTACTCAAAAAGAGCCACGCTCGACGACAGGAGATGATTTTTAACCATTTTTTACTTGCAGGGACAGATTTTCAGGACAGGTTACACAGATATACAGGAAGTACACGCATGAAGCCCAGTCACAAGAATCTGCTACAAGCTGTGTGTGAAGCTTGTTTTTATACCCTTACAGTTCAGCCGAGCTCACAGACTTGAAGGTGTGACCTTGGAGTGTCAGCTGTGCCTCACTCAGCTCCTCATCCAGCTTTCTACTAAGCCAAACATATGGTTCATGGGCAGAGTTAACATTCTCAGCCACAGTAGTTAAAAACATACATAAACTCTGACCAAAAATTCCCTAACAATATTCAACAAAATGCTTCTTACTACAGATTATTTTTCTGTATTATTTATGTTCTAATACAATACAACTCCTTTCACACAGGTCAGCAGGATGAGACTCTGCGTAAGAACTATATTTCCGAGCTTAAAGACTTGCGTTTGCGCATCGAGGACTGTGAGGCTCAGACTGTGGCCCGCATCCGCAAACCAGTGGAAAAAGAGCCTCTGAGAGAATGTGCCCAGAAAAGAACAGAGCAGCAGGTAAACTATTGCAACTTCAGTTAAATCTGTCTTGCATCATCGCTTTGAATCCAGTTTTCTGTTTCTCTGTAATCCTGTTAACACTGATGTTGTTTTGTTCCACAGAAAGTCCAGGGAGCGCTTGAAGGCCTTAAGAAGGACCTGGATAAGGTGTCTGTAAAGACACAGGAGGTGTTGGCTTCTCCTCAGCAGTCTGCTTCAACCCCTGTGCTGCGCTCAGAGCTTGACGTTACTGTGCAGAAGATGGACCACGTCTACATGCTCTCCTCTGTTTACCTTGAGAAGTAAGTTTCCAAGTACTTACTCTAAAAGAAAAATGCATTATTTTAAACTCATGTTTGTTGGGAATTGTAAATATGTTGTGAGCATGATAACTTGAAAAACAAGGTATGCATCAACTTTTATTTTGGCGTGTGGCTACAGCTAGACATAAGAAAGATACATTTCAAAAATTAGGTTGTCACATCAAAATCCAAGATAGCCACCAACACACATTAAAGATGCCGCCCCGTCATTTGAGGAAAATATGCTTTCTAAGTTTTTTATTGCTTGAAATCCATTGGCGTCAAAAGCATTTGCAATGTGTGTGTGACGTGTGTGTGTGTGTGTGTGTGTGTAGGGGTGAGGGGGTATTTTAACAGGTTGTTAAACATCTATGTTTACCTACATAATTAAACACTCACTTCAACAGTGCCCCCACCCGGTCAACAACTGTCAGCATTAACGTAGCGCCAAGCTAGCAGCGCACAATACAGACATGCTGGCTAAGATGCTACAGATGTGGCGCTCTGCTTCTCTCACAAATCCTATCCCCCCCACCCCACCCCGGTCAACAACTGCAGGCACTAAGGTGACGGTAAACTAGCACAAAACTACTCCTGCTCCCCCGCGCCATCAAGTAATGTAGGGGAAACACTGCATGAGGTGTAGTGAGTTGTTGTAGGTAACCAGGAAAACACGGAGTGGACTTTTAGTAGTTTGAGTATTCTCCTATCAATGAAGTGGAATGGATTAGTCGACGAAGAAAGAGAAACAGCACCGAGTGAACTAATATTTCATGATAAATGTGTATGTGTGTAGGGAGTGTCCACACAAATATTTTTTTTAATGTGAGGGGGACCTGTCCCCATCACATATAATTGTTGCAACGCCTATGGCTTACTTGAGTAATTAGAGTGGCCCCTGGGGTGGCTGAAGATTACTGTATAGTGGACAAGGCCACTGGTCACCCCCTGGCTCCACCTTTGTGCCTGGTGGTGGATAACATTGCTCCTCCACTTTCCAAGATCTGTCACTCTGTGCTGCCTCAGACAAGCAAGATAATAATAATAAAACCACCTCAGTTCCTGTACACATTGTAGCTCCACTTGAATATCTTTCACCAGAAACATTAAGGTTTACTTGTATTCCCTGTTCAGTTCCAGTACAGAAAAACAATCCAAAACTACAAATTCTTCAAATTCCTCAGGGATGGGGGACACTGACATACATCTTGTTACTCTTCTAAATTTATTAATGCCTCTTCCCTCAGGCTGAAGACTGTGGACATGGTTATCCGCAACACTCAGGGTGCTGAGGGTGTCCTGAAGCAGTATGAGGACTGTCTGCGGGAGGTTCACACTGTGCCTAGTGATGTCAAGGAAGTAGAGACTCAAAGGACTAAGCTCAAGGTAACAACATGATGTAACTGTTAAAACATAAATATGTTACAACTTTTATTGTGCCCAAACTCCATCTGGTGTTTGTTGAGGGAATTTTATCACATTTTCTCACAACAAACCGGCTACGTTTTTATTTGGCCATGACAGAAAATGCGAGCTGAAGCTGAGGGGGAACAGCCAGTGTTCGACTCCATGGAGGAGGAGCTGAAGAAAGCTTCTGCTGTGAGCGACAAGATGTCCCGCGTGCACAGCGAACGAGATGCTGAGCTGGACCACTACCGCCAGCTCACGTCTAGTCTCCAGGACCGCTGGAAAGCAGTGTTCACCCAGATCGACCTTCGCCAGAGAGAGCTGGAGCAGCTCGGTCGGCAGCTCGGTTATTATCGGGAGAGCTACGATCAGCTAATTCGCTGGATAACTGACGCCAAGCAAAGGCAGGAGAAGATCCAGGCTATGCCCATCACCGACAGCAAAACGCTGAAAGACCAGCTTGCCCAGGAAAAGGTATTTATACACCTTCACAGTGTCACTTTTATTTTGTTCTTGAATAAATCAACTGAGACGTGTTTTTCAAACAGAAACTGCTGGATGAGATTGAACAGAACAAAGACAAAGTGGACGAGTGTCAAAATTATGCCAAAGCATACATTGATACTATTAAGGTGAGCTTTAAACGTCAAAATCTTGCATGCACGTCACATATAGAGGACTTACTTTGAGCATTACTGATGATCTTTTTTTACAAACAGGATTATGAGCTGCAGTTGGTGGCCTACAGGGCTCAGGTGGAGCCTCTTAGTGCTCCCCTGAAGAAAACCAAACTGGATTCTGCTTCTGACAACATCATTCAGGAGGTGCGTTTTTATGCTTCAGCACAAGAGATAACTTGTAAAATGATGCACATTTGTATGCACAACCTCTTCACTTTAAAGCAGTACGAGTGGCAACAACTATGGTGGTTGTCGGGCAGGTACTAGAACCACAGCTGAACTAGAATAAGAACTGAACTTTATCATATCAATTTATTTTACGCCCAGCGAAAGGCGGACGTAAAACGAGGTAGTCTCTGTCCATCTGTACGTCCATGAACTTCCTCTTGTCCTGCCCTTCGTCATACAAATTTGCATCACTAGACAGCAAGTGACACACACTTGTCAGTACTCACGCTTCAAGATCAAGGTCACAAATCAAGGTCAATTTTAAAACAAGGTCTTTGCTTGACCGGCTCATAACTTCTGACCAGTTCAGCACAATTGAATGAATCTTGATACACATTTATACCACCACTAGACAACATGTCACATAATCTTCTCATCAACCCAGCACTAAGATCAAAGTGACAAATCAATGTCAAATCAGTGTTTCCCCTAGATTAGCTTCCTTGGTGGGGTGCTCATGGTACTTTTTTTTGGTGCTACTTTGCTGCTGGGTTGTTGTTGTTTTTGTTTTGTTTGTTTTTTTTTGGGGGGGGGGCAGGCAAAGTGGTTCATCAGCATTTGTATTGCGCCCCTTGTTATATTAATATCAACAGCTGTCGATGGGTGGGTGGGGGCGGTACACAGAGCGCTCGGTATATGATGGTAGGGGAAACACTGAAAATGTTACACAAGGTTTTTGCTTGTCTCAGTCTTTGCTTTAGATTTCTGTATGATAGTTAGAGGGGCGTAATGTGCTGTATGCAGTACTCCTGTTTTAGGAAACTAAACCATACGTAGTTCTTGATATGTTAATTGGTGTTTTTATTAGGGGTGCACTGATAAATCAGCCGGCCGATTTATCGGCCCCGATTTCTTTAATTTACGGAAATCGGAAATTGGCCGATACTTGTATGAGAAACCGATTTTACAGATTTTTTTTTGGTTTTAAGAACAATTGTCTGAACTTTATTTATATTTCAGAACACTACCTCATGGTCAGTTAAAACAAGTTTGTATTGTTTCTAGGATATTGTTCAAGGGTATGTTTTTAAATAAAATAAGATTGGAAAATGGAAGGTGCATTGTGAACTGATAACACCTGACAGTGTCGCTTATGAAACAAAATCAGTATCAGCCAAAATCAGAATCGGCAAGTCAGACTTTTTAGAAATCAGTGATTGGCCAGAAAACTTCAATCGGTGCGCCCCTAGATTTATATAGATTGACCAGTTTATTTACAATTGCAAATGTTGTGTATGTATATTTTTTGATATAATGAAAGCACTGACTGCTTGTGTGGACGAAAAACACATTATAAAGTGCTTTTTAACGAACCTTGGAAAATGTAAAAGTTGTACTAACAGTATGGACAATGAATCATCGGCCTAAAGTTGACTCATTTCCAAACGTTGCGTGTTTCTCCTACTGTAGTATGTAACACTCAGGACCAAGTACAGTGAGCTGATGACGCTGACTAATCAGTACATCAAGTTCATCATGGACACACAGCGCCGCTTGGAGGACGAGGAGGTATGTGACAACTGGCTGAGGGTCCCAAACAAACTAAACCCTAACATTACTTAACTAACCAACCAAGCAAAACAAACAACATGGATTCCACACTGATCTGTGGAAGTGCATACACCCACCGACACCCCCACCCACACTGTTTTCTGTTTTTTCTGTCACACTTTAATTCACATTACATTTATTGTATGGGTGACAAATAATTCCTTTGCACTGGATATGCTTGAAACATTGGCATGCTGTAGCTGACTCATGAGCTCGAGAAGCAAGATGTTTTGTAACGTTCATACAAAATGAGCTAAATTCAAACGATGCATGTGTTTATGCTGAGGTTCAACTAAGAACGGGACCAAAGTACATTATGGACTCAATTGTGTTTTTATATTTATCTTCCGGGAAGCCAGATCTGCTGGTTTGCTTTTAAAGTGCTCTTAAAACTATGTTCTTCGAGCCTTTTGAACATCTTAAAGCTTTTCTTTGGCTTACCTTAAGTGGAGGTAAGCCAAAGAGGTAAAATAGGTTTCTTTTTCTTTGAATGATTCATAGATCAGCATAAAGTAATATACATAAACTATTCTTCTGAACAAGAATTAAACTGAAAAGGGAGGAAATTGAAAGAATTTCAGAAATCCTGGAGCGCTATCAAGACCATTAAAAAAAGAAAGCCTGCTCCATGGGAAACAAAGATCTGAGGGGTGTCCCGTCACTTTACTACAGAACTGTAATCAATCAGGAAGTCTGTTAATGAGACATCTTCCTGTGTATAAAACTAGAGTGACTAGATCCAGCATCGTGCACATCCATACGTGCTGCTTCATTTCCATTCATTTTGTGTTGCGCCATTGTAGAACTAGAATGAGGGGTTCTTTCTTTCACTTCTTTGAATCGTCTCTTTCTTTCTTACGCCACTCACTGATTTCTGGAGGTCAAACTCAAAGTTATAACTCTGCTGGACAGTCGGATCATCTTTGGATTCAAATCTTTTATTTTTCCCCAAATAACACAAATTTAAAATTTTACATTCTTTTCTAACCCAATGTTTTTTGTGTCCTTGCTTCTTTTAACTGCTTGCCAGTGCTTTGCCATGTTTGAGCATAAAGGAGGTAAATGATTCTGTCCTAGGTACATGTCTAATTCATTACCCTCTTTCATCCTATCATCTGTTTGTCTCAAACTCTATTCTGACTTTTCACTCCATGTTTAATTTCAGTTTTCACGTCTTCTGTACATAAACAGCTACTGTTCCTGACAGCCTCGTTTCTAATGTCCTGACTGACAGCATCTACTTTAAATGTTCAGCTTGTTTGTCAATTTATGAGAATTTGCAACTCTTACTAATCTTTTTTCAGTCCTGACTAACACACCACTTGAATCTTCTTCTTTTTTTTTTACTTTTCCTTTCTTTTCAATTCTATTTTGTCTCAAACGGTGATTTAAAGAACCCCCAGTGCAAGGGATGGTTTAAAAACTATACAAATGAAATGGTGTAAAAACAGTCCTAACTCTGCTTGAATAAAACTTATAACCACTGACTTAATGGGGTATAAAGCTGTTTCCATGAAACAGAACCCCACCTACCTACTGCAAATATCTGCTAAATGTATATTTCAGTAGTGATCACACACAATATATATATAACTGAGTTTGTCCTACAGCTACAGATGCATGCCATGATTTTCTTGCTGTGTTGTGAAGTGATGTTTTGTTTCCATACATTAATTGTCACATTCATATTTTCTGTTTTTGCTGAATGATCTTGTCATGATTGTTTAATTGCATTGTGAATTTAACATCACCTAATTGAATGTGCATCTAATTTGCATCTAGTGATTGAATTCTTCTTTGAGCTAATTTTAACATTAACATTGCTGAGGTACTGGATTACATTAATTTGCTCCTAAACAAGTGTGTTTTGGCTGTGATGACCAAAGTTTTAATGGTTTTAACCCACACTTTTGTGAGCTGGTTAATGTAACATGTTACCTTTATCCTATCATGCTTGATTGTAATCCTTTCTTTACCATTTGCTTCCACTAATGCAGAAAGCTGCACAGAAACTCAAAGCAGAAGAGCAGAAAAAGATGGCGGAGATGCAGGCTGAGTTAGACAAACAGAAGCAGTTAGCTGAAGCTCATGCAAAGGCCATTGCTAAAGCTGAAAAAGAGGCTCAAGAGCTGAAGCTCAGAATGCAGGAAGAAGTAAGCAGGAGAGAAAACGCTGCAGTAGATGCAGAAAACCAAAAACAGAACATTCAGCAGGAGCTGCATGAGCTCAAAAACATCTCAGAGCAGCAGATCAAAAGCAAAAGCCAGCAGGTGGATGAAGCTCTTCACAGCCGAGTCAAGATTGAGGAGGAAATCCGCCTCATCAGGATCCAACTTGAGACAACTATAAAACAAAAGGCCACTGCAGAGTCTGAACTCGGTCAACTTCGCGACAGAGCAGCCGAAGCTGAGAAACTCAGGAAGGCAGCTCAAGAAGAGGCAGAGAAGCTCCGTAAACAAGTTAATGAAGAGACGCAAAAGAAGCGTCTGGCGGAAGAGGAACTCAAACGGAAATCCGAAGCCGAGAAGGAGGCTGCAAAGCTAAAGCAAAAAGCCCTTGAAGACCTTGAGAACCTCAGGAGGCAGGCAGAGGAAGCTGAGAGACAAGTCAAGCAAGCAGAAATTGAAAAGGAAAGACAAATTCAAGTGGCTCATGAGGCAGCCCAGAAAAGTGCTGCTGCCGTGCTCCAGAGCAAACACACCTCGTACGTGGAAAAGACCTCACAGTTGGAGGAGTCGCTCAAGCAAGAGCACGGTGCTGTCATTCAGCTGCAACAAGAAGCGGCTCATCTCAAGAAACAACAGGAGAATGCAGAAAACGCCCGGGAGGAGGCAGAAAAGGAGCTTGAAAAATGGAGACAGAAAGCCAATGAGGCCCTTCGTCTAAGACTCCAGGCTGAAGAGGAGGCACATAAAAAGAGCCTCGCTCAAGAAGAAGCTGAAAAACAAAAAGAGGAGGCTGAACGGGAGGCGAAGAAGAGAGCCAAAGCTGAAGAGTCGGCGCTGAAACAGAAAGACATGGCCGAGCAAGAACTTGAGAGGCAGAGAAGAGTGGCTGAGAGTACTTCCCAGCAGAAGCTCACTGCAGAACAGGAGCTCATTCGACTCAGGGCGGATTATGACAACGGAGAGCAACAGAGGTCCCTACTTGAGGATGAACTCTACCGCCTGAAGAACGAAGTTGTTGCAGCTCAGCAACAAAGAAAACAGCTGGAAGACGAACTAGCCAAAGTAAGAAGCGAGATGGATTTGCTCATCCAGATGAAGTCCAAAGCTGAGAAAGAGTCCATGTCCAACACAGAAAAAAGCAAACAGCTTCTTGAAGCAGAAGCTACCAAGATGAGAGACCTGGCAGAAGAGGCAAGCAGGCTTAGAGCCATCGCAGAGGAGGCCAAGCATCAGCGTCAGATTGCAGAAGAAGAAGCTACTCGTCAGAGAGCAGAGGCTGAGAGGATTCTCAAAGAGAAGCTTGCTGCGATCAGCGATGCCACTCGCCTAAAAACAGAAGCCGAAATTGCCCTGAAAGAGAAGGAGGCAGAAAACGAGAGGCTCCGACGTCAAGCTGAGGATGAAGCTTATCAGAGAAAAGCTCTAGAAGACCAGGCAAACCAGCACAAGCAAGACATTGACGAAAAGATAGTCCAACTCAAAAAGTCATCTGACGCAGAAATGGAAAGACAAAGAGCGTTGGTGGACGACACGCTCAAACAGAAGCGAGTCGTTGAAGAAGAAATCAGAATCCTGAAGCTCAACTTTGAGAAGGCGTCATCTGGAAAACTGGACCTGGAGCTAGAGCTGAACAAGCTGAAAAATATCGCTGAGGAAACTCAACAAAGCAAGCTCAGAGCAGAGGAGGAGGCCGAGAAGCTGAGGAAGCTTGCCCTTGAGGAGGAGAAGAGGAGGAAGGAAGCAGAAGAAAAGGTCAAGAAGATCGCTGCTGCAGAAGAAGAGGCAGCTAGGCAACGAAAGGTGGCCCAAGACGAGCTCGAACGCTTAAAAAAGAGAGCAGAAGAAGCCAGGAAGCAGAAAGACGAGGCTGACCAAGAAGCAGAGAAGCAGATCACGGTGGCCCATCAAGCAGCTCTGAAATGCAGTGCAGCTGAGCAGCAAGTGCAAAGTGTTCTTGCTCAACAAAAGGAGGACAGCATGATGCAACAGAAACTTAAGGACGAGTACGAGAAAGCCAAGAAACTTGCCAAAGAGGCTGAAGCTGCCAAGGAGAAGGCAGAACGGGAGGCAACTCTCCTTCGTCAGCAAGCAGAAGAAGCAGAACGGCAAAAAGCTGCTGCGGAGCAGGAAGCTACAAACCAAGCTAAAGCTCAAGAAGATGCTGAGAGGTTGAGGAAGGAGGCTGAGTTTGAAGCCGCTAAACGAGCACAGGCAGAAGCGGCAGCACTCATGCAAAAAGAGCAAGCGGATGCTGAAATGGCAAAGCACAAAAAGCTGGCTGAGCAAACCTTAAAACAGAAGTTTCAAGTGGAGCAAGAGCTCACAAAGGTCAAGCTTAAACTTGATGAAACAGATAAGCAGAAGTCTCTCCTGGACGATGAACTGCAGCGTCTGAAAGATGAGGTTGACGATGCTGTCAAACAAAAGACCCAAGTGGAGGAGGAGCTGTTCAAAGTCAAGGTTCAAATGGAGGAACTTCTCAAACTGAAAATCCGAATTGAGGAGGATAACCAGCGTCTAATCAGGAAAGACAAAGATAGCACGCAGAAGCTCCTTGCTGATGAGGCAGAGAAGATGAAAACACTTTCAGAAGATGCTGCTCGGCTTAGTGTTGAAGCCCAAGAGGCTGCTCGCTTGAGAAAACTTGCAGAAGAAGACCTCAACCATCAACGAGCGCTTGCAGAAAACATGCTCAAAGAGAAAATGCAGGCCATACAAGAAGCATCCAGGCTCAGAGCTGAGGCGGAGATGCTTCAGAGACAAAAAGACTTGGCTCAGGAGCAGGCGCAGAAGCTTCTGGAGGATAAGCAGCTAATGCAGCAGCGTCTAAACGAGGAAACGGAGGAATACCAGCGATCACTTGAAGCAGAGAGGAAAAGACAACTGGAGATCGTAGCTGAAGCTGAAAAACTAAGACTTCAGGTTTCTCTGCTCAGTGAAGCCCAGGCCAAAGCTGAGGAAGAAGCTAAAAAGTTCAAGAAACAGGCTGATACCGTTTCTGCTCGTCTTCATGAGACGGAAATTGCCACAAAAGAAAAACTGACTGCAGTTGAAAGACTGGAGTTTGAGAGGCTAAATACTGGCAAAGAAGCTGATGATTTACGCAAAGCTATTGCAGACCTAGAGAACGAGAAGGCTAGACTGAAAAAAGAGGCTGAAGACCTTCAAAATAAGTCACAAGAGGTATTGTGTCAAAAATGGCATAGCAGAGCAGCTCATGCCATTGATAACTGTCTAAAACTAACCCATGTTCTTCTCCAAAGCTCTCTTTCTGTCTCTGATTATACTAATCATGAATCTGTTTTAATTTTGAACATCAATTTACATTTATTTTTCTTACAGTGCACTTTGTTCATGCAGATCATATCCTGAATGCCTCCTCATATCCTGGAATGTTTCTCCATTCTGACACATTTCAACACATCTCTTTTCTTTTCCATTTCATAACTCAGATTAAATTTAAAAGCAATAAACACACAGTTTCCCTGGTATGTTTAAAACATTTACTTAAAGTGTACGTTACTACATACTATAAACATTACTAAAACATTGTCTTAAAGTTAAATAATACTACATTTATTTAACAAATTTCTTTTTAGCCATTTTCCAAAGAATTATAGGACAAAAATTAGACAAGTGACTTTGTGTCATTCATTTTTGATAGTTACTGTATGTTAGCTTCACCATTAAAGGAAAAGTTTGGACATTTGAGTAGGGTTTGGTGAAATAGGTATGAGTTAAATAATCTTACATGTTGTAAATGGCTTTTTGAATGGCCTCAGTTTGAAGATACAGAATCTGTGGTGATGATTGCTGCCACCTTAAAACAACCCATCACTGTAGATTACTGTATTGTTCTATAATATATTTTCTCAAGGAGCATGTAACATGCTCTGTGAGGTACAGTAGTCCCTCGCTACTTCGCGGTTTGTTTATCGCAGACTTGCTCTATCGCGGTTTTTCAAAATAAGATTGGACATGACACAGTTGGCTGATAGATGGATGAGCCGCACAATCGGCATGGAATTTTTATTTAAAATAAATTGTTTTAAAATATTTAGCACCTGCTGCACATTTGTGTAGCCCAGAGATGCAGAAAAAGCTTCCTCCTGCAGCTTTGTGCAGCCCACACTGCAGGATAAACGTCCTGCTGCAGCTGATCAGCTGTTCTCCGTGCAGGGCGGTGAAGTGGGCGTGGCCAAGAGCACATGCAGGTGGCAAAGAGCAAAGGAGGCAGGGAGCTGAAAACTTGACATGCTGTGCTCTTTTAGAGCGTTTAGACCATATGTGTCAAACTCAAGACCCGGGGGCCAAATGTGGCCCTCGTTGACATCTTATCTGGCGCCCAAGACGATATGTGAAACATAAAATACTTCTAGCTCTTGATTTTTTCAATAATCTTTGATTATGATGTCGAAAGCACAACAGAGAACATCAAATGAGACCAATCAAACTCTTGTTGAGGAACCTGTGACCAAGAAAATATGTCTGGTATCTGATTTGAGTTAATGTAGATTCTGAAATTGGCCTTTAGTTTGAAAAATGTTTTAATTTTGGCCCCCTTTTGTAAGTGAGTTTGACACCCCTGGTTTAGAGTTTAGAAACATTATTTAGAATATTGCAAGAGTGTGGGAAGGGTTTAAAATGCCTTAACATATACAGGCCCACCTTCTCTAACCTCTGCGCCACCACTCCCCCATTCCCTATATATATATATAT